AGTGAATACTGCTTGCTATGATGATCTCAGCCAGGATACTCCTAACGGTCCAGGCGAGTCCATCCATCACCGTCGTGTAAATGTTAATCGTCGTTCCGTCCGTGACTTTGGTAAAAGTGTTTTAGAATCGTGGCCGATGCTTGGAGTTGCGCTGGGTTTCGCTTTTAAGTAAAGTCGCGAACCAACTCGAAACAAACTCGTTTTCATCAGCCTCACAACGTTTGCTTTTAGGGTGAATGAAGTAAAGCTTTCCGCAAGCTGCAGTCTGCGTTCGGTGCGAACAGTCGAAAACGATCCAGCGAATTCGTGATGTCGTTGCATGATTCTACTTGTAAATTCACCGTGTATAGCGATGTAAGCTGAAAATATTTACTTTATTTTATAACGTCAAACTGTGCTTGCGATGGAGTTAAAGATTAAGCAGTCATAACAGGTATAGATTATAATATATATATATCATTGTTCTCACACAACCTTCTGCTCCAAAGGAACGAATTGAGGAAAGTCAGAGATTGCAAAGTTGTTTCGGGAGAATCTGTCACAAGCCAGCATCAGTTACTGGTTCTAGACTTCTCTCTGAACAACAGCAACCCTTTAGGAGAATGGCCACATCAAAAGCCTCAAAAATGCAATGGTGGAAGCTCGAATGGAAGTTGAAGTGTTCTAAAGAGAAGTTACGAAAAAAAATGACTAAAGAAAACTTTAACAGGAAGTATGGGAGTATAATTATGAGCATTGCCAGAGGTCTAATCGAAGAAACAAAAGGCATAGCGCATATCCGGAAAGAAACATGGTGGTGGAATTTTGACGTGCTGAGGACCCTACGACAAAAGAAAGAGCTGTTCAAGAAATGACAGTTGTCGAACAGCGGGGAAGACAGAGCGAATATGCTAGATTAAAGATGGAGGCAAACAAAGTCGTCGCTGAAGCAAAGTTTATAATGTGTTATAGCTTGCATAAAAGACTGCCAACGAAGGAAGGGGAGCAAGACATTTGTTGCATATAAAAAACGAGAGTTAAGTACATAAAAGGCGAAAACGAAATGGTTTTTACTGCGGAGAAAAATATTCGCAACCGATTGCCAAGGCACTTCCGAACCCTACTAAACGAAGAAAATCCCAGAGAGGCCGCAGAAGAGATTCCACGTAACCAGGGTTTAGTCGAAAAGATCTCACCGGAGGAAGGCTTGAGCAGAATGAAAAGTAAAAGGCCCTTGACCCGGGCGGAGTTTCAGTAGAAGCTTGGAAGGCACTGGGGCAAGAAGTCGTTGCTTGGCTTTGCGCGCTATTCAATAAAATTATGGAATTTGAGAAAATGCCAGAATCATGGAGGCAGAGTATTTCGATGCGAATGCACAAAATGAAAGGGGACATACTCGCCTGTGAAAACTGCTTAGTCACACTATGAAGATATATGAGAGCATGTTGGACAAAAGACTAAGGAAGGAGGTCGACATACCCACGAACCAATTTGGCCTTACACCAGGCAGATCAACCACGGATGCTATCGTCGTTTTAAGATCAGTCTTCGAAACATACAGAGAAGGCAGACGAGACATTCACATTGTGTTCCTATATCTGGAGAAAGCCTTGGACCGAATCCCTAGGAAGCAATGTGGTGGAGCATGAGAAAGAAGCTGGTGCGAGAAAAATATATCACGCTTAACAAAGACGTACGACAGCGTGACAACGATAGTTCGAAGTACATGTGGCGAAACGGAAGAGTTCCATGTGCTGTAGGAGTTCACCAGTATAGAATTAGGTTCACAATTTCTGTTCTCATTGGCGAAATGCGTGATAACTAAGGATCTGGAGGATGTTGCCCCACACTGCATGCTCTATGCAGATGACACCGCGCTGTGCAGCGAAAGCGGGTAATCAGCAGAAACGAAAGCGAAGGCATCAAGGACAGCCTTTGAGAAGAACGGCCTTCGACTCAGCAAAAGCAAGTCAGAATATATGGCGGGCGATTGCACTAGGAAAAACGGATCGAAAGCCGTCACACCAATGACATTTACGGGGAGCATGCTGCTTCAAGCCCAAAAATTTAACTACCTTGGTTCCACCCTGCAAGATAATGCAGAAATCGACACCGAGATGAGTAATCGATCGACTGATGTTTTGTTTAAATGGGAAGAAATAAAGAAATACTGGGCGACAAGAAGATAGCCATCAAACTACAGTGAAATGTGTATAGAATGATGGTAAGACCGATACTTCTGTACGGGTCGGAATGTTTGACTGCCGTGAAGAGAGACAAGCAAAAACTGAACTCGACCGAAATGCGAGTGCTCAGATGAATGTGAAGTGTTAGTAAAAATGACCACATCGGAAACAGCTTCATAGCAGGCACTCTAGGCGTGGTATCAATTGCTGGAAAGCTTATCGAACGTAGGCTCCGTAGGTTCGGTCATGTGAAAAGAAAACCCATCGAATACGTTGTAAATGTCCAAGCACTGATGCTGCCATGTCGTCAATAACGATATGAAACTGCGAGGAGTGAAAGAAGAATTAACGAAAAACAAAACTGGAGTCAGTTGACTCGATTAGCGGGCCATTGCTAAAGGGAAAAAAGAGGAAGATATTGTTCTCACGCGTACCTCACTCACACCATTCTACGGTTCCGAAAACTTCGTTTTGATTGGCTACAGTGGTATCTCGTTTAGCGCGCCGAATGCGGTCCTGCAAACGAGGGTTCTAACTAAATTAGCGTTAGGTGTGATCAGCACGTGAGCATGGTACTTACAAGGAGGCGTTACGAAAATAGTAAATTATTGCCTCTTTGGATAGCGTTATGTAGTCACTCGCTCTTCTCTTCGATATATGTTCTTGAAAGATGTATGTTAAAATTTATCTTTAAATACGCAGTGTAGTAGATTTGCAGCATGCCAAAAATCCTGCTATGTGATAACTGTCCCGTTAATTTGTCACTTACTCCTTAACGGATTTATCATCCAGTTCTCATATAGTCAGTGTCCAGTATCATGAACAGTCGTTAGATTCAGTGATATAGGTAAACGGGACGAATTAAGTGGATTAAGATATCCGGCGGTGAAGGGTCACTCAAATAGAGAGAGGTGAGCAGTGTACGATGTGATCACAAAATGCCCATCTAGCTTGAGTGAAAGGTGTACAGCACGGTATTAAGACCGGTACTTCTGTACTAAGTGAGCCTTTTGCGGAGTCTTTGGCTGCCCTGAAGAGACGCGAGCAACAGCTAAACTCGGTTGAAATACGAATGCTCAGATAGGTGAGTGGTGTCAGCTAAAAGGCCACACCTGGAATACCTTCATGAGCGGCGTATCGGTTGTAACACCAGAATGACAAAAGCTAATCATAAGCTGTTCCCGTTGATTCAACCACGTAAAATATCCGGTGAGTACAATGGAAGTGTTGTTCTATCACTGAAACTGCCAGGAAAGAAAAATGGAGTAAAACCAAAGGAAAAGTAACACAATATCATAAAAAACGATATGAAATTACGAGTTATGTCTGAAACTTTAACTATAGACCGAAAACGGTGGAGCCGTTGTTTCGAGTGGCGGACCGCCGTAATGGGTAAAGATGTATACCGAGGCACTCGTTGCTATTCAGTTGAAAGCATACTGTTTCTGCTCTGGTTTGTTATATGATTTTTACGGTTTTAATTATTGTAACGGAAACGGTTGATATCGTTTATGCTGTTCGAGTTTTTGCGATACTTAAATCTGTCTAACAGTGCATGACTAACTGCAAATGTTTCCCCTGTGGATCATTCCCCTTGTTCTTGAAGATAAATAAGGTAAGCTTCTAACTCTTTTCATGAGTGGCACTGATTTTGTTCTTTAATTCACATTCGTAAGGGTCTCCTCTCTTTATTTTCTCAAATAGATTACTTCTCGAGCGTAATGATGATATAAACGTTTGACATTAAATTGTTATCGTCATCCGCTACGGCTGGAAGGTTTCGAGCTACCAAACTGTCATGCGATAAACAATTTTCATAATTGTTTTTCCAATATTCTCGGATTGAATTCCAGAGTGTCAGTTCCTCGATATACCCCGGTCTTCGGTCTGCATCATTTATGTCATTCCGATACACAGTCCAAGTGTTTCGTCAACAAGCTGGATCATTGCTCCGTTACGATCCGTAATCTGCATTGAGATCGATAAAACAGCGAAATTGTCGCTTGCTGCCACGCTGTTGGAAAATCACATGTAGACCGTCGAATTCTAGAAATTTGAAGTTAGCAAGTTTCAACTTCTTTTGCTCAGTGAGCTTCGCCTCGGCCAGGTACCAGCCAGTTTTTGCGTAAATGCCTTTCACGACATTCTTCGTTGAACGGAATCTTATGAACCGACGAGGCAGAGAAAAACCGCGTTCTGAAAAATCTGCCCCTATTAAAATGTAGATTTGGACAGCAGACAGAATTTAATCGTAACGTAGACAATGGGTGCTGTATGCCTGAGCCTGTTGCAGAAACATACACATACCATGGACAGGTGTCGCATTGTCATCTGTATTTTAGCGATTTTTGCTGGACGATTTGCGCCCATTTGTGGAGTCATCATTTGACTTTCAGTTGCGATTAGGATGTCGTGTTCAGTGATTGAGTTCATAACGATGTCTCATTCAAATTGATGTTTGCAGTCCATCACTACTCACTTGAGCTGTTGAAAAAGATTAAATGAATGCTTAGAAAATGTAATGTTATTTCCACCGTCATCTGAAGTATGAGGGTCAGAGACCGAGTACCCATATTAATGATATCTGAGAAAAGATCATCCGTTGTTAGAATTGGGTCTATTGTTTATCTTAGGCGTGCGTTGCTAGCCATATTGGAACACAGTTTGAGAACGGTTTAATTCTACGCAACGCAAAAATCAATCCAACGAGTGATTGAGTGCAACCGACATTTGAGCCCTGTTTCGTGATCCTCTTTCAAGGTTGTTTTAGGTTGTAATTACCTCCAGGTACAATAATTGCAAGGTCATTTTTTAACGGTTCTGGTGTCCATCGTCATGTTTGATTTGAAGGTGCTTGTGGTTAACAGGTGTTTGGTAATGGCTAGAGAACATCATTGTGTTGTAATAAATAACTGTGCATTTGTGCGCATGTTACGTTGCGCAGACAATCGATGCTGGTAAATTGGCACTCTTCTCTTAATTTACCCATCGCCCGTTCATTCACCTGTTGCAGAACGCTTGTCGTTCGTCTTTTCTCAATCAAGCATATCGTTTAAGCAGGTGGAGGAGTCGGACTTGAATCGTGCCGATCGCTCCGCTAGGCTAACTGACAAGCAGTTCGACCCGGTCACGTTCAGCGTACTGAAGGTAGCGGCGGATGAGATCGCGGCGCAACTGACGATTGGTGACTTGCCGATATTCAAGGCGATCAAGCCCGAGGTAAGCGAGTGACTCGTAACTGTTTAATAGGTCTGCTGCCTAAAAGCCGATGGACAACAAGTTGCTTGCTGCGATCGTTTAGGAATTGACCAGCTGTTCGTGGAACTCCAAGAACAAGCTCATCGTCGCTCCGAACGTCGTTGCGTTCATCCGCAGGTTTAATCACGTAAATCGACCCGAACTGAAGTAATCCAGAAATTCGGCCCATGTTCTACTTTAGGTTTGCCTGTGGTGTCAAAAAGAAATACTCTCGCGCCATAATACGAAGCTGCGCGCCGAGGTCTTAGCCCATTATATCAAGATTGCAAAGGTGCGTTGTTAACAGCCGGTTTTTGACAGTTTTTTATTCGCTGTGTAGACAGTGTCCGTCGTTAAGTGCAGTAGAACTTCGATCTGTCGTGCCCTGATATATCATTCAATTCATTCGTTAGTTCCTTAATTTGTAAAGTCCGTTGTTGCTTCTGAACGCATTTCAAGTGAATCCTATCCGCCGCCAATCGGAATTTCTGTGATCTGGAATTCAAGGCGCGACAGTCTGGTCTTATACATAATCGATCTGTCCATAGGCCATCCTCCATGTGGCTTTACCAAGAGAATGCGCTAGAGAAGTCTCTTCCGTGGCGTCCTTACACACCATCGCAGTTGTAATCAGTTTCGACCTGGAGAATCAGCTGTTCACAGTCGAAGGCATCTAGAACTTTGCCCAGTCTCGGTCACCCGATCATGGCCGTCTAACGGAGAAGCAATGACTGCTTAATATGTTTATTACCTTTTACTTCATATAGTGCCTGCGATGGGGCAAAGTGAAATTAAATTGCTTCCGTCGTTCCTAAATATCATATAGAATTTTCCAGTTCTGTCCTCTGTTTATCAGAAATGATCGTCGTTTTGTTTCATCTACTTTGTTGTCATGTCATTGAGGTCGTCACTTGCACCTTTCTTAGATTATTTTAGAATTTCAGTACCACAAATATCCCAGCATGGTTCATGAAGGGAGGATTCTGTAAATGGCGGTCATGGCTAAGGTTGAAGGTTACTAACATATAAATGATTATCACTTTCTTTTGCTTTCTGTGTTTATTATCCGAAGTATCGATTGTCCATCAGTCGGGATATGTCTGTTACTGTCCATAGTGATACTCATTTCATACCTTTATCGACTGCAGTTAATTCGCATTTGGTAAATACCGGTATGGACTGAAACTGATTTTCGGTCCAGTTCAACCAGTAATACCGCGATTTTACTCGATTATTATTTGGCCTAGCCCAGTATCTAAGTCTCAGCATTGTTGCCTGCATGTTTACATTTGCGCCGTGGCATTCATATAGTTTGAGTTTAGGCAGTAATGCGGTAAAAACTAAACATTTCCAGTCTAGACTGAAAATTATTAACTTCAATCCATATCGGTATAAACTGACTTGCAAATTAATTTCATTTTTAGCTAGTACGAGAATATTACTATTTTGGCGCAAACATATCGAATGACTGAATGGTGTACTTTCCGTTGGCTAATTTAAGGTTTTCATACCGAAAATACAGAACGGCAAAGTTTGTGTCCCAACGTGGTGCGGTAGCTTGGCGAAAGGGCTAACTTTTCCCAGCGCTTCAGCCTAAACCCTACTGTACCTCCGAGGCCTTCTTCTGATAAATTTTGTGATTCTTATTTGTAGTTGCTGACCGTATCTAACAGTATGTTGTTAGTAAAAATAGAACAATAGAAATATGCAAAAAAAATTTAAATCTCCTAGCGTTATTATGACATAGACGGTTTAAAGGCTATGTAACAGCAAGTTGCGTGCGATTTCTGAACTATTTCAGTTTTACAGAACTGTAAGATAGAGGCCTTTTGGTGGAACCTTATTGAAAGGTATTTAAGTAAACAGGCTTCTCCCTGACACCTTTGCAACCAGGTCAAATATTGCTTACCTGCTGTAGGCGGCGATAATGCAACAAGTATGGGAGTATAGTCCTGCATTGTAGATTTCACAAATTGAAGTTGAAAACTCAGTAATTTTATATTCGTGACAAGATATAAAAAAATAAACAAAACTAGCGCATTCTCAGCTCTTTGCCCTCTCTATACTGTCAGACCGGCTCTTTCCCTGCCCTCTTTCCCCACTTCTCGTTAAATCGTATCGTCTGATCATACATCATTTTTCAGAAGCTTGAATCGGTATGTGGTTGTCTGAATGATTCATGGTTTGGAGCACCAAATGCAGCAGATGGTAAACCGTTTAGCGCGTTTCACTGCGCAGACCGCAGCATCATAAGGGCTGGACTGAGTACAATTGACCGCTTGAAGACATTTATGTCCAACAAGAGAACAATGCCAATTTACCAATTGGCTCATCACATACAGTCAAGACGTTGTTGCATTGACTGAACAAAGTATGATGTCGCGTCGAAATAAATCGGATCTTTGTCATTTTGACCCGATTTTGCGAATTCATTCTCTGATTGCGTCCAAGCTTTCACTGATTACAACGGAAGAAGTGTATTCTTTGCACATCTCCACATGTCGATTTTTATTTGTCAGTTTATGCAGGGACACCTTTTTCATCAGACTTAATTCGGATTGGACTTTGTCCATGACAGACACATTGGTCTGACTGAAAGAATGCCCTTCAGTAATCACAGGCTGGGCAATAACAGAATTGGTAAAGAACAAGCGGAAATAGAATATCCGTACAAAAGAGCACCGTACTGCGGTCCACCTTGGACAGGTAGTTTTTCACTTTTAGACTAGCGATTTCTTTAGCAGTTAGGTTTCGAGTCTGAGCAGTTGTAGCCACGATAAGTTATGCTGTGGTTAAGAAGTTAGGGTTTTGTGAACCGTGCCTGAATAAAGTCGTTATACTACCGCTTTGCATTAGAGGCTTTGTGCTGTAGCTAAGGCGTTCGCACCTACCAGTGTAATGTATATAGCCTACATAAAACAGCATGCCTATGGCAATACCGTTAAAGATGTACTTGGCGAATTTACAAGTAGTTCTAAATTCACCACCTTCATCTGAGGTATTAACAGCAAAACAACAAACATACGCGTTTCGAACTACATGTGCTGGCAGTTCCTGTCATAAAGACGTTGTTATATAAGGTCTAAAGAAATGTCTGTTGACTAGAGACTGGACGAACTTGCTTCGATGCATAAAACACGGTTTATTTGTACACTACAAGTTGCGGCCGTGAAGCAATGTTATCAGACCTCATGGCTGTAGATGTCGCACGCTACGACATGACCACATCATAACACCTGACTGTTTCACTATTATTCCCAGGTCAGCAGCTTGCTGCCTGTATCTTAACTGGTCGCACAGTAAAAGAAATAAGTAGCTTTTTCAGGTCAATTAGCAATCAGTAAGAAAAATTTACCAATGCGACACCAAAGCTCGCCATTGCTGTCTCTCCCGAAACGCGTCGTAGGATTGCAGATACAGGCGTATGCAATCAACACAAGCGTGAGTAATTGTGGAATTAAAATGCAGGGCAAGCCAGTGTGGCTGCTACAAGCATATCATACTACTTAGCGCACTGAGCTTGTATGGGAATATTGCGTGCGCTGCGTAATTTTAAGTATAACTCTCCCAGTTGTTTTGCAATTTCGAGTACACTATGCATAATGCGCGAACGGCGCTGCGTATTCATATTCATATGTATATGCTAGGTGGGTGTTTATGCTGTCTGTATGTATCTATTTTATAGGATTTGCATCATATGATTGCGGCCCCGCTTTGTTTCTAGAAGCCAAGTGGATTATTTATATTTACTTGGCTTTAAACATATCACATACGTTAGGTTATATGAATTTAAGATTAGTTCATACATCTGATAGCTGTTGCGCAAGTAAAACGATGTATGAAAACGGCTTCTTTCTGTTGTTTGTTTCGTTCGGTGCAGTGATCATTATCTGTGCTTCAGAAGCTGATCGACTTAAATAATATCCACTCTTCGTTCGCCATTATTTCCGGTTTGCAGAGCAACGCTGTTTACAGACTCACCAAAACGTGGGGAGTAAGTTGAGTTGCGAATGTTTAATGACGGTGCGTAATTGGCTGTAAAACAGGCGCTCGTCAGCAAGGATAGGTCAAACTTCGACAAGATGGCGAAAATGTTCAGCGATTCGAACAATTGGGAGCGCTTGCGAAAATACATGGACAACGTGAAATTGCCGATTATACCATATCTTGGTACGCGTCATATTGTGCAGTC